AACACTTGTGAACTGAACTTGAAATGACAATTATCAGGGGGTAGTTGTGTTAGTCTGTATCTACAAAAACAACAACGAGTCTGGTGGCACCTTAAAGACTAACAGATTTATTTGGGCATAAGCTTTCGTGGGTAAAAACCTCACTTCTTCGTTGAGGTTTTTACCCACGAAAGCTTATGCCCAAATAAATCTGTTAGTCTTTAAGGTGCCACCAGACTCCTTGTTGTTTTTGTAGATACAGACTAACACAACTACCCCCTGATAATTGTCATTTCAAGTTCAGTTCACAAGTGTTTAAATTGTAATCAGCCATATCATCATTAGTTGGCATTGATTTGTAGCAGAATCCAACAAGAGAGTATTTTAAGGACCTGTAAGCTTGAAGAAACTTCACACCACATCCAGAGGATAGGACACAAGACTGGGAGTCAAGAGACCTGAGTTTCACACCCAACTCTGCCACTTATACAATGTGGAACTTATCCAGAGCCTTTTAAGACAATATGAGTTTTTCCATTGACTTAATAAGCTTTGAAAAAGGACCTGTGTGGTTTTGGGTTCTAACTGCTCTAAACCTCAGTTTCCCATCCCTGAAATGAGAATAATGAAACTTAACTCCTTGTAAAATGCATTTTGATCTATGGATGAAAAACACTAAATGATTATTATATGATAAGTCCCCACTACTTCTACAAATGTCACTAAACCAAACAAGTCATGTTTTCATGAATTAGAATACTGAAAATAATACACCTCTTACAAAACCAAAGAAAAGCAAAGGAACTGAAAAAATGGCAGTCTTTTCAAGTGCCCCTGATTCTGCATTAAAAAAGCCTTATTTTCCTGTCCCCATCCTCTCTTTAAAAGTTGAGATTTAAAAACAGAGAGTAACAGTTCAAAAGTGCCTAGCTGACTTAGGAGCCTAAGTCCCATTGACTTTCAATGACACTTAGGCGCTTTTGAAAATTTTACCAATCAGAAACAAACGTCAATTTTTGAAAACAAACATGGGTTTTCTTTAACACATCATTCTGTATTCCAAGCCATTTCAATCCTTCACCCTTGGAAAGAATGCATGAGTTGTGGCAATTGTCTTCCACAGGATGGCCATTTATTTCAAATTAAGTTAGTAAGGTTTTTAGGCCTCAACATTTGATCTGACTTTATATTGTTAGAATCAGTGGGGAGAAGAGCTTTTAGATGTCTAAAGATCTTTGTTTTGTTTTTTTCCTAGTGCACTGTTTTGTTTCAGAGTAGCAGTAGAGCAAAATACAAACTACTGTTATTTTTGAACCGAAACAGCTATGTCAATAAAAGAAAACACTTCTCCCACCCTCAAAACAAACACCTTACAAAGAGTACAGAATACAAAATAAACAATTGCTATAAGAAACTTTGTGCAAAGTCCTTTCATATTCAGTGATGAGACAGGGGTATGTCCAGCCATAACAGAGCAATTCCTTTTCTCTATAAGTACAAATGTTGTAAAAAGAGAGGGCCAAAATCCTGCTTTCTTTCCATAAGTGAGTACTCTCCCCTTCAAAGGGACAACTGGTGTAAGTATGCAAAGAATGATCTGGACACAAAGGGAATAATTCTTTACAAATTCTTAGGATGGAAGACTCAAGAGTGTAAGTGTAAGAATGAGAAACATACCACTTGAATTCTACATCCTTCCCCGATTATAGAGTCCAATGATGCTCTGGACTGCAGCTGGGGATTGTCTGGTACAGGAGGTGATGGGGCTGCTGGCCATTTACACTTGGCAGGTACAGAATCACGGTCACACAGTTCTTCGTGCAGAAAGGGGACATGACCTCCAGCTGCTGAGATGGGGCTCATGGGAGCCCCAACTTCTTCTGACATTTCTATCTTTCTCACCCCTTAGACACACATAAAGGCAAGCTCTGGGGAGAGGAATGAAGTATACCACCAAGGGGGTACAACCGGTTAACTATAAAAGAGGCCCTCACACTGCACCAGAGCATGAGAACAACAGTTTCATTCCTGCTTCCATGGAGTGGCTCCTAAGTGAGAGCAAAGGGAACACAAGTCCAGTTCTAGCCTATGTTCCAGAAGGGATGGAAGACCCCATTCCAGGCAGCTGCCAATGTGAGAAAACTACAGAGTTTACTGCTAAATGCCTCTGAACCAGTCAAAATGTTCAGGTCTCAGGCTGAAAGTACCAGGGGTTGGGTGGGTCAAGGCCATGATTAGTATTAATGCACCCACTACGCCCATAAAATGCACAATCACTGCCACTTAGGGGGTTGCTCCCCCTCTCTCCCCTCAGGGTGCTGTTTTCCTCTCCCAGCCTTGGGGTGTCCTGTTTCCCCACCACATACACACACACTCGCCCTCAAGGTGCTGCTCCCCCCACCCCTTCAAAGTGCTGCTCTCCTGCCCCTCCGGGTGCTTCAGCTGCCTGCTCTCTCTCTCCCCTCCCTCCCCCCGGGTGGTGCCGCTTCACAGAACCTTTCTCCCCCCCCGTTCGGCTCGCCCCCACGCGCGCGCGGCCCCCTAGGCGTTCGCGGCTCAGCGCTAACTAGCGCCAGGCCCCCTGCCCCAGAGCCGACACGCCCCCAGCGTTCTCCGCCGCGCGAGGGAACTCCCCAACTCCCCACCCCGGCAAGCCAGCCAGGGAGAGGAGCGCACACAGCGGCTAGAGGGGCCGGAAGTGAAAATGAAGAGGCGAGAAGGTGACAGTCTAGGGAATTAGAGGAACCATAGAGCAGGAGGATTTTTTTTGAAGGTGATGGGGAGGGAGCTGTGATTAGACTCAAGGGCAAGGCTGGAATGATGGAGGTGCGGGGGACCTTGGGTGTGGTTGAGGATAGAGGCTTAAGTGCTGGAACTGGGGTCCTGCTGCACCCTGGCTTGAAGTGGTTTCCATCATATGCAGGGTTTACAGTTTGGACATTCTACAACAGATTTAAAGGTCACTATTCTCAAACAAAAAAACTAAAGAAACAGACTTCAAAGAGAAACAGTAGAACTAAAATTCATTTGCAAATTTAACACCATTAATTTGGGCTTGAATAGGGACTGGGAGTGGCTGGCTCATTACAAAAGCAGCTTGGCCTCTTCTGGAATTGACACCTCCTCATCTATTATTGGGAGTGGACTACATCCACCCTAATCGAATTGGCCCTGTCAACACTGGTACTCCACTTGTGAGGTAACTCCCTTCCCTTCATGTGTCATTATATATTGCCTGCATCTGTAACTTTCACTCCATGTATCTGAAGAGGTGAGGTTTTTTACCCACAAAAGCTTTTGTCCAAATAAAACTGTTAGTCTTTAAGGTGCCACTGGACTCCTTGTTAGTTTGGTTCAATGGCTCTCAATCCCCCCCCCACACACACACACACAAATTGTTCCAGCGCCCCGGATGGTTTTAGACCTAGGGTGAGGGAGGGAGTGGAGGAACTGTGGTTCAGATTATTGGCAGCAGAGGTGGGTCTTGGATTTAGGGGTGGGGGAGAGGGATGGGTGGTGTTTGGGGTTTTGACAGAAGGGGTGATTGTCTCTAGCTTGATTTTCAAGTTGCCTTTGGTATCTGGCAGGGAACTTGTTTGTTTGTGTAAGGAAAGCTGTTTCCACTGTATACTGCTTTAATTTCATGGAAACTTTCTCTTGTTTTCATTAGCCCCAGGCTTTGTTAAACACTGTTTTTACAATATCTAAATTTGCGACCCTATTTCACCCGACAATGCGCCTTTAAATATACCAATCATATTACTTTCCATGATGTAATGAAGCTTAGGTGGCTGTGCATGTAAATGTTCTTTGTTTTAATAGTAACATTGGTTCCTATAGTTAATCATCCTACAGCTTATCTAGTTTTGACACTTTGAAACTTCTAATTTTTTAAAATTAAAAAATACTCCCTGTGTCTCTTTAGTCTATTATTGTGTCTCATTAAGGACTGGTATTTCAAATGCAACCAGTATCACATTTTTAAAATAATAATTAAACTGGCTTTAAAAACGACCCAACAACTGTATTTTCTTAATGATATCATCGCTAAAGATAACTTATTGATGAAAGCAATGATCCTGCAAACATTTATGCAGTAGGATAGCTCACAATTATAAGTGATTGCAAGGTTGGGACCTATATGGCAAGCTGTTTAGAATATAAAATATTTATACAAAGTAGGGATGTAAATAACATGTAAAAACAATAACGTGTAACTGATTAAAATTTTATCGGTTAGACAGTTAAACATTTATCCGGGGAACTAAGGGGTGCGGGGGGTGCTGCAGCACCCCCACCTTTAAGGTGGGATCCCTGCTGCTGGCCCTGCGCCCAGGAATCCCCACTGCCAGCCCCACGCCCAGCACACCCGGGGTCCCCACTGTCAGCCCCCCGTGCCCAGGGTCCCAGCTGCTGGCCCCATGCCCAGGGCTCTGCTGCCCACACCAGGGGTCCTGACTGCCAGCCCTGTACCACAGGTCCTAGCTGCCGGCCCGGCCCCGGGGCTCTGCACAGGGCACCAGCTGGGACGCCGGCCCATCAGGATGCCGGGCGCTGGCAGCAGCAGAGCCCCAGGCATGGCAGCAGCCGGGACCCCAGGCGCGGGGGCTGGCAGCCAGGTCCCCGGGCATGCAGTTCGGCAGCCGGGAACCTGGGCAGAGTTGAATCGTTAATAGAAACCGATAAGCATCAAGCTTATTGGTTAGCCGGTTAAACTTTTACATCCCTAATACAAAGTCATCTTTGGCAACCTAAATCTTCCAATTGTCCCTGGATTATTTAAAGACTCTATTAAACAGTCAGTTCAACAAGCAAACAGATCAAAGTTACCTTAAAATGTTTGTTGGCATGCAAATATGGAGGGGTGGAGGATGTGGGGAAGACAGCCAAACAATAATAATTCATCATCGGAATTCATTTAAAATTATCTGTCCAACTTCCCCCCACCCACTCTGTGGGCAATGTTGGGAAATGTAATATTTTTTCATCTGATAACATAGACTAACTTTATACTTTCTTGTTGCCTTCATGACTTTTTTTAATCCAAAATAGATGTAGCAGTTTGTTATTTATTTATATGTATTGCAGTAGTACCTAGGAGTCCCAATCATGGACCAGGACACCCTTGTGCTAGATGCTGTGCAAATATGGACCAGATTGTTCCTCCCCCAAAGAGCTTACAATCTAATGGCTTTTCTTCACTATAGAAACTATGGTGGCACAGCTATGGCACTGCAGTAGTGCCACCGTAGCACTGTGGTGTCGACATTTGCTACAACTACGGAAGGGGTTTTTCCCATCACTGTAGTTAATCCAACCCTCTGAGAGGCAGTAGCTAGGCTGGTGGAAGAATTCTTCCATTGCCCTAGTGGTATCTACACTGGGGTTTAGTTTGGATTCACTACCCATCTCAGGTGTATGAATTTTTTCACACCACCAAGTGAGGTAGCTAGGTCAATGTAAATTTTAGGTATACACCAGGTCTAAGTAATTGAAGACCCAAACAAGGCAACTGGAGATGCATTTTGAGTTATATTCCACAGGTAGCTACAGAGGGCAGCTAAACTAACTTCCTTTCTAAATATATAATAAAAGCTTTTATTTTATTAAATTATTATAATTACTGTTGGAAGGTTGGGCCAGATTTGTAAAGGTATTTAGGTACCTAAAGATGCAGGGAGAGGCCTACATACTTCTCTGAATCTTTAGACACCTAATTATCTTTACAAATCTGGCCCTTTGTTACATAGTTTTAAACTCTATCCTTGTTTTATTTTTTATTTTAATGTATCACAGTGGAGAGAGGTATAATAATGAACTGTATCAAGTTCTTCTTTCAAGTACATAATGTGCCCAGCTTTAACACAATTGATAGTGAAGGAACTGTTTTACTTTAAACACTGTCTCAGAAAGCCGTGGGAGCAGTAACATTGTACTGAAGCAGTGTTGCACATAACAACAATTACAGTTCTTAGAGGAGTCATGTCGTGTTGGTATAACTCTTACTTCGTATTATATTAACTTTCAAGGCTGGCAGGTAAAATAAATCATATTTTTACTTGTAATGTGAGCACATTTAATTTGGATGAAATCACTCAAAGACAGTGTCACCTTTTAAAGTAGAACCACACTTGAATATGTTTATAATTTTATTTAATATGTTACATTGTCATAATAGAATACATCACGGTTACATGTTTCTTTTTTTTTTTAAATGACTCAATCCTGAAAAGATTGTGGTTGCTTTTATGAGCTGATAAAAGTCACGAATGTGCTGTTATCAGCAGTGCTGACCTTAGGCCCCTGTGTGGGTGGAGAGGACCCCACTCATTCCAGTACCTGTATTCACGCTCTTCTTGACACACCAACTACCATCCCACTAATAGTACTCTTTCATTTCTTGTTGTCCTTCTCTGAATATATGTTGCACAACTATCATTTTAGGTGGCTCTCCTTTGTCGCACTTCAGCTGTTGTCTTAGCTGGTTGTTGTTTAAGAAGTTGAATATATTTCCTTGCTGTTGCCTTTTCCCTTTATAATGTTTTAGATGCATCCATATAGGAGCTGGTTCAAAGCCTTACAAGCAAATTAAGAGAGTTACCTCCTCACCAAGGCCATGGCATCGGAGGCAGGCAAAGAACTGGGATTTTAAAGTTTGGTTAAGATATATTGAGGGAGTTACACTGGGGCACCACAGGTCTTTCTTCGTATAGAGTCCTCCATAGTGGGGGAGTCTTACGCATAGTCAAATGATCAGACTTAGTTGATCTCTTCCAGATGGAAGGTACATGTCTTCACAATAACTTAGTTAATCTTTTTTTAAAAGAAAAACAGTGACATTAAGGAGACAGTTTTTTACTGGAGAATTTTGTGCAGTTTATTGATAGCACTTTATGGGATATCCATCTGGGGTAGTGCAGTATAGTTTTGTTCTTAAGTAATTAGTCCTGAATCCACTAAAGTAAAAATAGTATTTCCCCAATTTACCAAAAATCCTTTAATGGTTGAATTATTTGGAAAGATGTTATTTACAAAAGGCTGCAATATTCAGCTGGTGGAGACAGCTGAAAGTTAGCCTTTAAATCCCATTTCCCTATTCTCAACAAGTATCCCGTATGCCACAAGTGGTAACCCTTGAGAATCAAAGCTGCTCCTTGAGTAAGAATAAATCTTTAGAAAATTCAGTTTGCGTTCTTTGTTTTTCAAAGTCATGCATCCTTTTGATCTTCTTAATGACCTTAGTGCAAAGCACTCATAAAATAGAGTTATGCTGGAGAGCTGAGGAGAGTGGGTGGAGTTGAATACCTTTCAAAAAGTCATTGGCAAATGTGTAGTGTATACAGTCAGAATTTTCCTGAACTTCAGTACCTTTTGGAAGTTAAACATTTTTGTGTATAAGTGCAGGAAACAGCTGACATTTTAAGATGGGAGAGTGCTTAAAGAAATAAATCATACTCTTACAAAGGAAT